ATGATGATGTTCGTCATCGTTTGTTGGGTGCGGATTCTCTAAAGGAAGTAATCGTTGCACACCAACTCCGATGGCTTGGTCACATTTTTCGCATACTTGCCCATCGTCCATCTCTGTGTTCTCTTTTCGTGAGCTGGGGGTGGGTGGTAGAAGCACCGCGGTGGTCAGACCATGACATGGCGTAGCGCTTTGAAGTAGATAGCTTCAGTTTTGGCTTTGGTTGGGGCAGCTAGCTTTCCAGGTTGGGACCCAAAGGATGAAGATTTTCGTTGGCTATAAACACAGGTATGGCCCAGAATATAAATCAATGGTGCCAATCATGTACAGTCTACCTGTTGAAATCACGTGCCTCGTAAAAAACAATCAAATGACAAAAAAATATAAAAGGTGTGCGTGAAGCACAATTTTGTTATTTCTGTTGTCTACTGTTTTCCACTGTAACTTTAACCTTCTTCACATATCGTTCGGTATCGCAATCCATCCATTCCGTGTTGCTGTTATTAAATCTCCTGCTATCGCACCCCTGAGAAGTCACAATTTCTAATATCTTCCCACTTTTTCGAAAACCCGAACTAACCGCATGCGTAATAACGGTTTCTGACTATGAAAATGTCGCAACCCTCAGTACGTCATAGTTCCTGATATCTACCCACTTTGTCGTTGACCGACGACCATTGGCCCTCCACCGTTAAATGTCGCACTCAGCCAGTGGCGTTTCATGTAGTGTGACGCGTTCAAGGCACTGTTCACTGACTGGATAATCCTTGCGAAGAAGACACCGATGCAAGTGGTCGGAGACTGTCATTTGACGTCAAAATGTGCAAGATCAGAGAGAAGCAGAATGTGTTGGAAGTGCTGAATCAGCCAGGTGCAACTGAGCTCCGTAGCAAAATCACTTGGAATTTCACGAAAAACTGTCTACAATGTTATATCCCATCGAGCGACTATTGGAGAAGTTTTGAACGCTGGAGCATCTCAGGAAGGGTGTCATCTGAAAAGTAATGAATAGTACAATCTTGGTTTGGTTTACTACTATGAGGGAAAAGCACGGAGAATTCTCAGTGATGGACAGCATCGTGCGTAAGAAGGTTATCCAACTAGCACCAAGATTGCATCATAATGACTTCAAGGCTTCCAAAGGTTGGTTTCGCTCTTGGTGAGACAGATATGGTATTCAGTTGCACAAAGTAAGAAACAAGCAACTGATGTGCATTACTTTATAGGTTTGTGAAGAAGTTTATCGGTACCACGGGATGCAATAGACAAGTTTTGAGCGGGATTACCGCAGTTGGTACATGAATATGCATGGATATTTTCAATGCAAATGAAACAGCTTTTTATTACAGGTAGCTCCCAGAAAGAATATTGTCTCAAAGGAAAGATGGTTTCTGGATCCAAGAAATCCAAAGAAAGAGTCATGTTACTGCTCTGTGGGAGCATGACTGATGAACATTTATCACCGTAGGCTATTGGAAAACCTATTGATGAACGTCTTTTTGAAGAATAAATCGCCTGTTTGGAATCATATGATGAAGAAGTGGATTATTTAATTTTTGTGTATCAGGTCTCTTTTTAGTCATGAGATGAATTCGTTTCGGATCAAGCGAAGCATCGCAAAGCAGATGAACTCCAAGTCCTGTTCTCCAAAGTGTGGAACACTGAGCAAGTCCCCTCCTCGTGGAGGGAATCGATTGTTGTCCCCATCTTCAAAAAGGGCCCGAGCAATGACTGCGCCAATCACACGGATATAGCGTCAAGGCTGCATAAAGTAGAACTGATCATACAGCGGCATAGTATACAGACCTTCCGACTGCAACTTAACGTCTCTGAAACACCAAAAGTAGCTGATATCCTGCTCGAACCTTGGAGGTGCGTGTATTCGTTTCCTTTAATATGCTACCGTCATTACTAGCGTAACTGCCCGAATAGGAAAAGCAATCCGCTATAGTTAAATCCCTAGTCACTTACCAGCAGATACCTTAAGATGCTAATTATACGCTAGAACTTCTTAGAGCGAGAACATGGACTCGTCCACCCTCAAAGAGAGTAGGCTATTTTAGAATATCAAAGCTGCGGCGTGCATCACTATTTTCCTTGCTTCTAGCAGATATTCCATAGAGCGCGCCCGGTCATAGTGATTCCAACCTAATCGTAAGAACTGCTTATGTTTGCTTTGATAGTGTCGGGCGTTTTACTCTGTTGCTTCATTTAGAGTCAGCATAGACGATAGCTCGTGGTTGGCTTCGAATAATTAATCCTTCCGTTGACTTCTACCTCCCTTCCCGAACTATTTAACGCATTTGACCAAACTTATTTGTAAGCAGACGAAGGTTTTTTTATTTTTCTAAAGACCACTTGAGTGGATGTTGATTATTCATTACTTCGTGCCCACATTTGAATTATATCTCATTTACATCTGAAAGGTAACCCACTCAAAAATTGCTTGTGGCAAACCTTTCGTCAATAGTTTACAAAATGTGAACAAGGTAACTGACAATCCGGCGGTGACCAAAAAACAAGCGGTCATTTCATTACGTCAGGCAATGTAGATTTATCTTAATAGACTAAAATTAAATGAAATTTCGGCATGCGTATGGAAAGTTCAGTTGACGTTTACCAACTTGAGACCATTGGCGTCACTGTGAAATTCAGCTGTCCATCAAAGGTCGGGCATTTGTCCGACCGGTGCCGCTAGATAGTTCAGAGACAAGGTTTTTATGGGGAGAAAATAGAGGAAGTTGTCGGTGTTTGAACATCATAGCCTACATTAAAGTGAACGAGTATGGTTGTTAACTTGGTAGGCAATGCCGGGTTTAGGCGATTTCAGCTAATCGCGGTCACGCTCTGACGTATTTGGGTTCCATGTATTACAATTGGAACATGTACTACGCACGTCGCCGGATTGGCGCCCTCTGCGTGGGATGACAATCAAGGTATGCGATGCGCGGAGTTGGTCAAAATAATACCTAACATGAAGCCGTGAAAACATCTGCCAGGGCTTTCGGTCATATGCTGCGTTAGAATTCCCGGTCGGGGATCACGTAACCACTATAACCAATGGCTACAGACAGTGGGTGACAGCTGTTTAGCAAACAATGGCGGTAGTATCTACTTCATTTCTTCAGAGATCTAGTTTACCTGTTACATGTATGTTTATCATGATGCTGCTCTCAATATTCTTCAGCTTCCGATCGAGTGGGGAGTCAGCCTCCCAATGGTTGAGGATGGGTGTTTTGGGTTGTGGCTGGTCACTCTTCTCGTGCACCTCGTGAAATGCTCCCATACGACCAAGCTTCTCAAATAGCCTCTGCTGAGGAAGCCCAACTCACTGCCTTCTCGTGGCGTTTTTTCCCACCAAACTGAAAGAACGAAAAGCCGACATCTGAGGCTATAACCGGGTTGGTGGACCACTGGTAGTTCATCTAGGGGAGTTGGCCAAAAACCCTGATTCCAAAACTACCATGAGGAGGCGTACGAACCACGCAAACAACTTCCTGGTTGTGGCAGTGGTCACCGGCTCGATTGGGCATCGAGGTGTATTGGGCACATCGAACGTTTGACCCCGTCCAAAGGGCGTATGATCCGATGAACTGGACACCGGCCCCCAATGGATTGCAGTTTTCACACACCGCCCCGCTACCTTTGTTGGTCAGGTTTTGGCTAGCCGAAGGCTCCGGTTGTGGATTCCTCAAGAAAATTCACCTGCTTTGATCTGGGCAACCTGGCAGTATTCCGCCCACATGCAAATCATGGAACGCTTTCCTTATTATAGAGGCTATTGTACCATGATTTATTTGGCACAGTCTGGCGTCAGACGTTTGTGAAAAT